ATATTGTGTGTGTATGTGTACGACTAACATTTCACTCAGCATAATGTTTTCAAGAATCATTCATGTTGTAGCATGCATCCAGACTTCATTTCTCTTTATGGCTGTATTATTCATAGTAGTCAAAAGATGGAAACAACTTAATGTCCATCAACAGATAAATGAATAAACAAAATATAAATTCTCATTCTGTACTCTTACTCACTGTGTTAAAATGCTACTAACTGGTTTTGTTGTTGTTGTTATGTGCCGTCAAGTCGGCCCTGACTCATAGCGACCCCTCCTTGGGTTGCTGAGGCAGTATTACTATGGAAGTAGATTGCCAACCTTCCTCCTGAGGAGTAGCTGGTGGGTTTGAACCACCAGCCTTCTGGTTAGCAGTCAATTGCCTTAGGCACTATGCTACCAGAGCTCCTACTAACTGGTTTTAATTAACCTTAATTCTTTTTCTTCCACACTGAATCACAATGGCTTTCACTATCTGTATGCATATATGTATGTATGCTAAGATTGGAATGGAAACTAATAACAGCATCACAATTTAAAAAAAAAAAAACAAGTCTCTGTTGAATTATCTGTTTACTTTTAATGACACTGCCTTTTAATAATGGTGCCTTGGTGGTGCAGTGGTTAAGCACTTGGCTGCTAATTGAGAGGTTGGTAGTTTGAACCCACCAGCCACTCTGCAGGAGAAAGATGTGTCAGTCTGACTCCATAAAGATTTACAGCCTTAGAAACCTAACAGGGCATTTCTGCTCTGTCCTGTAGAGTCACTAAACCAAAAAACCAAACCTACTGCCATTGAATTGATTCTGACTCAGCAACCCTCATTGGAATTTCAAGGCCATAAATCTTTACAGAGGTAGATTGCCCCATCTTCCTTCCATGCAGTGGCTGGTGGGTTTGAACTGCTAGGCTTCTTGTTAACAGTCAAACGCCTTGAGGAGCACCTCCACCAGAGCTCCTTTGATAGAGTCACTGTGACTGAGAGTTAATTGATGGCAACAGGTTTTGGTTCAGGCTTTTTATATCTGTTTACAAAGTCTGGTATATCATTACAATTGTTTTTCTTTTGATTTTTACTTTGTACTCATAAAAATGCACTTATGATCTAGTAATTTAAATCATTAGTCAGAAAAGGCTTTTCGTTTGAGCAGTCATCCTTAAAATTCTTGTCAGTCTTTGTGCTTTACTTCTACTCAACGTTACTTGTTGATAGAGAAAGTCCATGTTTTTAATGACCTAATACCCTTATAGGAGCTCTGATAGCATAGTGCCTGAGGTACTTGACTGCTAACCAGAAGGCTGGTGGTTCAAACCCACTGGTGACTCCTTGGAAGGAAGGTTGGGCAATCTACTTCCATAGTGATACTGCCTAGGAAACCTAAGGAGGGGTCGCTATGAGTCAGGTCCCACTCGACAGCACATAGCAACAACAACAACAACAATACCCTTATAGTCTCTCCTTTCTCCATTACACCAACTCAACCTGGGCAAGGGATAGAAAGACATGCTTATGGCATGATACATGAAAATACTTTTTGTTTGTGACTAATGAAATTGTTCTTCCAGACTTCTGAACATTTTGCTCAAAATATGTGTCCTTCATTTTTGCTTCTGCCCTCATTTTTCGTTTTCTGAATTTCTTAATGCTTAGATCCTTGCACATTTTTAAATTCTAGAGATACATAAGGGCTTTTCATATCCATAAATTTGTAGACCTAAATAACTCTCCTTATAACTGCTTAAATATAAAATTTACTTAATTTGGAATTTAATACAAGTGAAAGAAAGAGTCACCGGATATTTTGCCCTTGCTTTTGATTTTTATAATATCTGGGCTATATGTTTACCTTCACTTGGACTCACATCTTAAATATTAACTTTTTCTTTCAGTGTAAGAACTAAATAATTTTAAGATAGCAATGATTTATTGATGTGTAACTTTTTTTTTCTTTGTGTTTAAATAGATACAGTTTGGAACTTTATCAGATTATTTTGATGCACTGGATAAAGCAGAAGCAAGTAGTAGAAAGAGTAGCCAATCAGTGTTCCCTGTTCTAAGTGGAGATTTTTTCACTTACGCTGACCGGGATGATCATTACTGGAGTGGATACTTCACATCCAGACCCTTTTACAAACGAATGGATAGAGTCATGGAATCTCATTTGAGGTACATTTACCTTTATATTCCTACATAACATTTGATGTTATCTTAGCCCTTCTGTAGAGTTTTACGTAATTTTCAACATTTATGCAGTGTTATGATATATTTAATGTAATTAATTGTGAAATTTTAATTAAATCATAGATATGTCTCCAAAGTATAATCAGATTGTTGTGTGGGTTTTTGTTCTGGAAGGAAAAGCAGGTTTTCTGATTAGATTTTCTTAGGGTTGTGTTCTGCGTTTTATATTTTTCTAACTAACTGTATGTTCACAAAGCATGGTGATTGTCAATGACATCATCATGTGTATCTGCAAGTCAGTAATCATGGTGAATTTAATTGTGGGAAACACATGTAATCAAAAGAAGCAAATACAGCCTCTTAGTCAAAGTATAGGCCTCAAAGAGCATATTCTAAAGCTAATGTGTTTATAAGTGGGAGAAGTTCAGAGGTTCTATTTCAGTTCTTACTTATTTGAAACACCTTTTATAAGGTATGATTTTTCTCCTTAGAAAAGTAAACTTTGAAAGAGATGAGAACTGATAGGATAGGCAGAGTAAGTGGCTGAAAAACTATACTGACATGGAGAAGACAGAAGACATGAAACCCCTCTAACACTTCAATAGAACTTTCTGCAGTGATAGGAATGTTCTGTTTCTGCACCATCCAGTGTGGTAGCCACTCACTGCTTGTGACTTTTGAGCGCTCACAATACAACCAGTGTCCCTGAGCAACTGAAATTTTAATTCCGTTTATTTTTCACTCACTCACTCACTGCTGTCAAGTTGGTTCTGACTAATAGTGACCCCTTCTTGGGTCTCCAAGGAGGTATCTCTATGGATGTAGATTGCCCAGTCTTCCTTCCGAGGAGTGGCTGGTGGGTTTGAACCACCATTCTGGTTAGCAGTCAAATGCCATTTATTTTTAGTTAATTTAAATTATATATCAGGAGCCCTGGTAGCACAGTGCCTAAAGCACTTGACTGCTAACCAGAAGGCTGGTGGTTCAAACCCACCAGCCACTCCTCGGAAGGAAGGTTGGG